ATATAGATGAGGGTGGGGAAAGCATGCTGGCCAAGTTTACAGATGTTACTAAGTTATGGGGAAAAGTGGTCACGCTAGGGGATCGGCTGCAGATCCGAGTGGACCTGGATAAGGTAAAGGTGGATGGAGCGGAACTGGATGCAACACAATAAGGATAAATGCAGACTGTTTCATTTGGGGAGAAGAGACCAGCAACATGAATGTAGGTTAGGAGATGTCCTGTCCAGCACGATGGTTGAAAGGGACCTCGGGGTTATGGTCGATCACAGGATGAACACGAGCTGCTAGTGCAATGCTGTAGTCAATGAGCTGACAGCACACTGGGTGCATTAGCTGATGCGTTGCAAGCAGGGCTGAGGAAGTGATACTTCCTCTCTACTTGGTGTTGGTGAGACCCATCTGGAGTCTTGCAGCCAGTTCTGGCACCACACTTCAAAAAAGACATGAAAGGGTCCAGAGAAGGGCCATGAGAAGGATCAAGGGCCTGGAGGACAAACCTAAGGGATCTGGGACTGTTCGGCCTAGGGAAGAGAAAACTGAGGGGGGACGTGGTGGCCATCTATAAGTATGTAAGGGGTGAATATCAGGAGCTGGGAGAAAAACTGTTCACAAGGGCACCCCAGCAGAGGACGAGGCGCAATGGCCATAAACTGTTAGAGGATGGTTTCTGGTTGGATGAAAGGAAGAACGTCTTCACGGTAAAGGTGACCACAATCTGGACTAGACTTCCCAAGGAGGGGGTGCAGTCCCCAACCTTGGAAGTCTTCAAGAGCAGACTGGACAGACACCTCCTGGGATCATTTCATCTCAGCAGTAGTCCTGCCCAGAGCTGAGGGGTTGGACTCGATCATCTTTTGAGGTCCCTGCATTTCTATGCTTTGATGAACCGTGCTGGCAGAAGAACAAATGAGCTTAAACTAGCCAGGAACATGTTTAGATTGGGAATTAGAAAGAGGTTTCCAGTCACCAAAGCAGTGAGATTCCTCTCAGTCGCATGGTAGTGGGAGAGGATGGGAAAAGACTGACTGGGCAGCAGCATTGCAAGGGCAGATGTGCAGGTTTGGTAGATCACAGATGCCACAGGAGTCAGCATGTGATACTGTTGTAAAAAACAGCCACATGCACACGTGCACATGCAGATGCATGCACACGCATGACATTTTGGGTTGCATTACCAGATGCACTGGTGCAAGACACAGGGAGATGATAGGACCACTCTACTCAGTGCTGGGTAGGCCCTAGGTTTGGACACCACGTTTTAAGAAGGATGTAAAGGAAGTGGAAACAATCCAGAGGCAAAGTAGCAACGAAGCTCAAGAGTTTGGGATGCAGCCTCATAAGGAAACGTTGAACAAGGTGGCCATCATAGTCCACCTGCTTCACCTGTGGCAGGTTTGGGTGTTGTGTTGTGTGGTTGTGTTGAGGTTGACGGTGTAGTTTTGCTAATAGATTCAACAAGTGGTTTGTATAGGATGGCTTGGGTAGGGGGGATCCTGCCTTAGGCGGGGGTTGGACTAGATGAACTCTGAAATCCCTTGCAGCCCCACTTCTCTATGACTCTGTGAACTGGGTGTGTTTAATTTGGAGAAAACAAGATTAAAGGGGAACCTGATAGCAGCTTTCAACTACCAGAAAGGCTGCTATAAAGAGGGAGAAGGCCACAGGAGACAGGACATGAGGTCATGGGTTTATACTGCAGTGAGGAATATCCTGATTAAATTATTTCTCTAAAGTCTGCCAGAGCGGTAGGACAGAAGAACAAGCTGCCCGGTGGGATCTCCTTCAATCGAGGCTTTGGAGAAGTGGGGCGATGGCCTGGTTCAGGATCCTGGATCTGTGCCAGGACCCAGACCAGATAGCTCTTGACGTCCTTTCGAATCCTAAGCTCTAGTAGAAGAAAAAAGAAACAGATTAATAAAACTTTTTAACCTGCAGTTTTACCTTTATGCACGAGGCAGCTGGGGTTTCAAAACAGCCCATGGTAGAATTGTGTCATCTGTCAAATTTGGCCTTGCGATCTGACTATACCAGGGTCCAGGGGAGGCCGAGGTGAGTGACGATTGCGCTCTACAAATCCTTCTGTAGGATAAACACCGTGTGGGGAAGAGAGCGATTTAAGCAACAGGATAATGCTGGCATGAGAACGAATGGGTATGAAGTGGCCAGAAATAAAATTAGTGGGGAATTGTCTAATCCATTAGATGCAAGAGGGCTGGGGACACACTCCCAGCAGGAGAAGTGGGAGCAAATACCTGCAGACTTTTAAGATGCAATTTGATCAGCATGGGAAAGGGATCTGAAGTCATGGCTACCTGTGATAGCAGGGGACTGGAGTCAATAATATCCTGTGCCCTTAGGTAACTTGTGGTATAAGAAACAATTTGATGTGCAAAAAGCAGTGATGTTTTAGTAACGCAAGGTCTCATTTATGCCTTTGCTTTTACCTCTCCCTGTCAACAGTCATCTGTTGGATTAAGCAACCGGGAATCATAGCATCTGGTCGCCAAGGCTTTGTGGGACTGCTCAGTGCTTTGTCCATGCGAAGCACTTGCATGTGCTTTAAGGACTAAAATCAGGGTGAATTCTCAACCAGATCTGCTGGTGCAAGACAGGGATTGCATGAGGGAGATGGCTACTGCTTCCAGGCTCTGTAGTTTGGCCTGTCCCAAGACCTGGACTAGGCTAGATGAGCCCAGGACCTGCCTCAGGCTTGGGGGTCAATGGGTGGAGAAGTTGCTTCCATCTGCTGAGAGCTGTTTTCACTGGAAGCAATGGCAAGTAGGGCAAGAACCAGGCTTCATAGGTAATTACTTAGCCTACTAATAACATGACCCACCAACATTTCCATTATGGACCCAGATTTGTCCCAACCCCTGATGGAGTTCACAGTTCCCTAATTAGCAGTAATCAGGACTCCTGGTAGAGACGATATCTTTTATTAGACCAACAAGATTTTTGCAAAAAACCCCCAAACAATTCTTTAATTGCAAGCTTTCGGGTGCAAACACCCTTCCTCAGGCATCGGAGAAGAGACTGTAAAAGTTCTCCTGGGTAGAAATATAAGTTCATATTTCAGAGGATTTCAATAGATGGAAAACTCCTCTGGGCGGTCAGTCAGTTATTGACCTAAACAGATGCCGCTTTTCAAGGAGCCAAATGTTGTGGTAACTCTCTGCCCTCTCCAGTTTTCTTATCAGTGAGTGCCATGCCCTCTGCAAACTTCCAGTCACCTGCTTTCCTTACCCAGGACATGTTAATAGGTTCGACAGCACTGGAGAATCACGGCACCAGTTACTCAGAAAAGCAAGAGGATTTCAGCGATCCCGACAGCGCGCTTCAACACTTTCAGGACTGAAAAGGGCCCTCGGTGACTGCCTTCCCAACCCCCTTTCACTGCAGGCGCGGAGGATAATTAGCAAAGCCATGCAAGAATGGGGATGAGCCCTTACACAAGCAAACAGGCAGATGAGAAACCTTCCCATTCATACGGCTTACGCAACACATCTGATTTAGTTGCTCTGTAACGGTGCACACATCTACCGGGTTTCTATACATCGAGAATGTGTCATGAACATTGTTCTGTGCCAAAGACTATTTGCATTAGATCACCTTTCAGATGTACCAGTGCATCGGCTCATCTAGCACATATTGTTCTGGGCCATTTAATACCAGGGGCTATTTGAATCACACGCCTTGTCCTGCTCCTGCCTAACAACAAACTAAACACAATCAGATATGCTCACCTTCGGAGTAAGTACATCTAGTTCTCAGTCTGACAGGTGGGGAGCACGAATACTGCACACCAAGGGCACAGGGGTGGACCTTTTACGAGATAATCCTTTGGGGATACAGGAAATTATCCGTGATTTTGTTCATAAGCATAGTCATAAGCAATTATTGCTTCTTTTGTTCATAAGCAGCAAAAGGGCAATGTCAAAATACGGAAGTCCGGTGCATGAACAATGAGAATTTATAGAAACTCATTAAAAAAGGCCTGCAGAGGTATTGCTGGCTTGTAGCTCATAGTCTACCCCCTCAGCTGAAGTGCTGGGAACCTGAATGGGGCTTTATTAGTTCAATCCCAGTTGAAGATCTGTGGGCTTATAACACTTGTCATGTTCCTGTTAGTAGCCTTGTGCATGAACCCTGATTTCTAACCTGAAGAAACAGTGATCTCGTATCTTTTGAAACGAAGCAAGCAAACTGGTGGCAGCAAAGTCCCAGGAATGAATGCTGCCTCTGGGTCTTGGTGGGTTTTTTTTCCCATTAGTAGCACGGTTATTCTTGATGCCAGAGCTATGCATGTCTATACGGTGGGTAAGGGCATTTGAGCATCAGCCAGGGCAAGACTATGTGAGCAGAGATCTGTGGTCCCCGACGGAGAGGACGGCTGTCAAGGAATCATAAATGAGCTGGCATCAGCTGTGGTTTACAGACAATAAAATCTAAAATCAACACCTCACCAGGCATAATTTCAACATCCGCTTCCCATGGAGAGTCAAGTCAGGTGGCTTTTGCAAGCTCATCACATATCAGCAATTGCTGATGCCCCGTGACCCTGGGGGACACGAAGGTCAGTGCTGAATAAAGTTATCTTTGTGTGGCACGAAGAGCCAACCTCTTTCCCCGCTCCATACTAAAGGGGGTTTGGGTGGGGGGACCGGAGGTTTTAAAGCATCCCACTCCAGTCTCTGAAGCCATAGGGACAACGGTTGCACCCCCAGCTCCCGAACTAGGAGTCAGACCTATGGTTAACAACAGGTGCGAGACTGTAGGTGCCCTTCTTGGTGGGTGCTAATTAGCACAGCCTCTCTGCGGCCAGGGCTTCAAACTCAACCCCTGACCCTGGACATCCAATTTAGCTGCAAACATGACTTGCTTTCTGGTTCAACCTGATCTCCAGTCTTTGCAGGGCAAAAGCAGGGAAGGGAAACCCCACGCGACTTAACCTCCTGCTGCTCATGGCTACAACAGCTCTCCTCTTTGTAGGAGGCCGCTCAAGCGTCACTAAATTGCCAAAGCAAAGCAGCAATGCCCACAAAGTTCAGAGGCATTCAGACACACCTAGGATTACGCGAGCTTTGCTTTGTGTGCAGGGGGGTCCAAGGGTGACACCTTGTCGAGAAGAATAGGCTCTGCTATTGTCTGCTATTCAAAGCTGCATTTTCGTTGCCAAAAACCACGAAAAGAAAGGTCGCGTAAAACAGGAGGTGGGGCCGGGTACTTAGAGCATGTTATGCCTTTATCACTTACACGGACTCGTTTTTCCGGTAGAATTAGGTCTCTGGGGTGGAAGAATACTTGTGGAGACCAGCAATTGGCACATCCCTCGGAGGCGTGACAATTAAAGCCACCGATGAGGGTCTCTGGGAGCCGAGTGGCCGACCTGCACAAGATGAAGATGCTCCTGGCTGCTCTGCTGCTGGCCGTTGTCTACATGGAGCTTGGTAAGACTTTGATCTCTGCATCCAGCCCTTGCAAGGTGTGGAGGGTGAAGGGGGCAGTGCACAGAGCATCACTTAAATTGCAGGCAGGGGGATTTGGGTTGGATATTTAGGTGGTTAATTAATGCAACAGGCTGCCCAGAGAAGCTGTGGGTTCTCCATCATTGGACAAGCTGAAGAGCAGGTTAGAGGCTTGGCTGGGCTGGTTTACACTGGGATGATCCTGCCTGGGTTGGACTTTTGTAAGATATGTGCTTATTTCTGTGGGAGCAGATAGCAAACCTCACACACCCATTGGCTTTAATGGGAGAAAGACCAGCTTTTTGGACGTAAGGGAGGTGGGGAGTGAAGTTCTGATATGAAATGAGAGAAAAGTGCTCTGTCTCGCCAGCCAGGTGTTTGGCTACATGATGCAGTTTTGGGGCCGGGACCCCTAGCTCAGAGCCCATCCTTTACCTGATGGGAATAGAAGCAAGGGGGTGATATCTGCATCGCACTAAGTCTCTCCCCCCCAATATTTGCTTTACTGTCTAATTTTGTTAATCCTACCGGTTTGGCCTCCCACTTGTGCTCTGAACCTTTATTGCTTCTTCATCTGCTGTTTTGGGGATTGTATCTCCGCCTCTCTTCATATCCAGATGTCTCTCTCCTCCTGAATGCACGGTATTTTGTCAGCCTGCCTCCCATTTTTCATTTTAGAGCATGGAAATTATTGCAAGCTTTGACAGCTGGGGTGAGACAGGCCATCCCGGGGCTTCCCTTGCCGATCTAAGTGACAGGTATTTTGGGGGATACCCTGGGCCTGATCCCATTTGGCTCTCATTCAGGTCAAACTCCCTCCTTTGAAGGTTGCCTCCCCTTTACTGCCGTTTCTCCTCGGCTCAAGGCAAAACCCAGATCATCCTGGTGCAGAAAGCCTAGGTTTCCTCATTCCTGTAACAGCAAGAAACATTTTTTTCTGACGTGAGCCGTCATACAGGAGCTGGGAGCTCATGAGATGCGATACCCCTGAGCTGCATCTCCCTCGGGTGCTGGCTGCCAGCATCCGGCAAGCGGCCGGTTGCAGCGTATGTCCCGGAGCTGCTTTCCGGTGCTGAGAAAACCAGATGTTTGCGGAGGGATGAGTGAGACAGCCCTGAGCTATCGGGTCACAAGCATATTATGGCCCAGACCCCGGCTGTTGAGAGCGAGGTGAAGCCTTGTGCGGGAATTGCTTCCTGGCAGGTGACTTCTGTGCAGCTGTGGGGGACACGTAACGATGGCCAGATGTTGCCATCTCTTGTCCTCTTGACAGGCGATCCTCACGACCCTCCAACCCCTGTCCTTGCCCACCACTCAATCCCTTGCCTTGCACATTTAGGAGGCCAGGCTTCTCCTAAAATTTAGGAATTTGCCAGGCTTGGGGTTTTGCTCTTCTTTTCCCTTCCCTATGAAGGACATGGAGCTTCTCCAGGTTGTCCTCTGATGGGGACCTTTTCCTCTCTGGGGTCCTACTAGCTCTTTTTAACTCGTGCTATTGAAAGCCTGGTTTTCTACCCAGTCCATCTGTCGCTTCACCGCGTCCAGCAGTGTGAGCACGTGTGTGCATCCCAATCTGCATTGCCCCCACACCACCATTTCTATTCCTCCTCCCCATGTCTGGCTCTGTACTTTCAGTTGTCCCCCCTCCGGGCATCCCATCTTCACCCTCTTTGGTTGTGAGACCCCATCCGCTTGCACTTTCCAAGCTCCTTTGTGCATCTCCCTTGCTCATGGAGCTGCTGAGGGAGGCAGCCTCTATTTTGCACGTGCAAACAGACACCCCGAGCGCTCAACTGGGATTGGGGTTGGATCTAAAACACCAAGGCTGCCGGGACACAGGTGGCTAGGCCATGTGGATGGGAAGTTGCAAAGGGAGACTCAGGGGGGATGTTTCACCTTGTGCCTGGACCGTTACCTTTCCTTCCACTTCTATACTCCTTGTCTCCAGGATTAAGGCTTTTGGATCAGCCGACGGGCTTCCCCTGTAATAGCACTGATGTGGAAGTCAGGTTCACCCCCAAACATCTGAGCACCCTTCAGGTCCTGGTCCCTTCCAGACACAAGTCATGGTACTGACTTTGGTCTTTGAAGGGGTTTAGGAGCCTCTCTGCTCCTGTGGCACCTGGAGAGCTAGGATTAGCAGAGAGGCTTGAATTTGCCTTCCCCACAAGGTATCGGGTGGGGCCTGGACATTGGACATGAGGACCCTTGATGCCCCCTTCCCACCCTTGGATTCTGATGAAGATCCAGGGAGTTTTGGCTAAGGCTCTTCTTTCTCAGCCTTTCACCCAGGAGCACTTCTTTGTTTGGAGTCTGTCCCATCCTCTTTGAACCGGCACTTGGGTGCAGTTTATACAGAAATAATAAATATGAATGCGTGCTAAAGATAAGGTGGCCTCTCAGTGTTTATGCAGCGCCTGGGACAGCGAGTCCCTTATTTACAGGGCTGGCTATAATACAAAGCAATAGTCACACACCTTAGGGCAATGAAATGGTGCTTCCTTTTTCTTCTCCCCCTCTTTTATACAGTGTACAGCTCTGGGCACTTCAGATGCATGGAGAAGGCCATTCAGATAGCACCAGTAGTTAATAAGAGGCAGGAATGAAAGACTTGCAAGGGAAAATCCTGCTTTTCAGCTTGATGGCTATGCTCAGCTCTGAGCTTTCTGGCTTGGGAGGCTGCCTATAAAAGCACCTGTACTCACAACCTGCATTAAATACGATGCCTCCAAATATATTCAGATATCCGAACTGCCCCAGTGCTTCCTTGTATACCACCCCATTTCTCTGTCCGTCTGCAGGTAGGAGCAGGCATGGCTTTGCTCAGGGACTGTGAAATGGGGAATAAAACCATCAACATTGAACGTGAGTTGGTGAAAAATAGGACGACCCTGTAGCTGGGGGATATTCCAGATGCCTTAATTCATCTGTTTCAATAGAAAACCCTCCTGATTTCTTCAATGAAGCCCCATTATTTCTCTGCATTTATTTTCATACCATTTCATTATACTTTTAACCAAAGCCTCTGTCTAATGAAAAGCCATTAAAAAAATAAATTAATAAACACGGACTCCAAGATCAGATGGGGACATTTGGGATCATCTAGCCGGGCCTAGATTTTTTTCCCTCCCCAGGAAATATCCAACCCTCTGAGTTTTCCATCAAGGCATGGCTCTCAGAAGAAAGTTTTCTCTGGTCTTGAAGCAAGAGCCAGCCAAGCCCCTTTCCTGGGAGGCTGCTCCTACGTACGGTCACAAGCTGAATCTTATTTCATACCTGAATTCATCTAACTTTTGCTTCCAGCCAGTTGATCTTGTTACGCCTGTGTCCGGAAGAAATGCCCCAAGCTATTCATTAGCTTCTCCATAGGTAAACACCTGGGTAGTTATGTTAATAGCCATTATTCAGCTTAGTCAGCCCTATTTTGATCAAGTTTGCGAATCCTAATAAGATGATTTAAAGCAACTGGTCCACACCCTAATTCTCCCAGGCACTAAAATCTTTTAACTCATCCCCTTAGAGAAGGAAAAGCTCAGGGAGACAGAAATCAAGGAAGTTGACAGAGCAGCCACCCTGAGGCTAGGCTCAGAGCTTTGAAAAACCACACGACCCAGCATTTTTGCAAAAAAAGAAAGAAAGAAGGAAAGAAAAAAGCAAGGCAGAGCAACTATCCACCCATTAAAAGAACAGAGGGAGAACAAGAGAGCACCTGGGTCTGCTTTTATCAGGGAGCTGATTGGGTTTCCTAATTAAAGTTGGAGTCTTATAAGTGGGGCTTCTTCACCCATGAAAGACTATTACTTGGGGGAGACCAAAGGTCCTTCAAGGCTGATATTTCAGTTTCATACAGGGGTAGAAAGCAGATGCTCGGGGGGGGGGGGGGGGG